AGGGGAAGGAAAGAGGAAGGGGGAGGGGAAGGAAAAGAGGAAGGGGGAGGGGAGGAGAAGGGAAAGAGGAAGTGGGGAGGGGAGGCAGCCCGGAACTCTGACCTTGTAGTGCTCCGGCAGGACCATGAACACCAGCTCGAAGGGTGAGCCCTTGCGGAAGGGCATGCTCCTCTTCTTCTCCTCGTTGCCCCACTGGCCACCCTGCTGCGAGTTGAAGACTACCTTGTCCCAGCCGTCAAAACGGGGATTGAAGTGGAAGGCGATGTCTGACCCCAGGCCCTGTCCCACCACGAAGTTCACGGAGAACCTGGGGGGACATGAAGAGTTGTGCCCCTGGCCCCACCTGCCAGCCGGGGAGGCCCTCCTCTGGGAAGCCCTCTCTGTCCCACCTTGTTCCAGGGTTCCTGCTGGGGCAACCCTGGCTCTGTTGACCAGACAGGAGGGCCCAGGAGGCAGGTTCCCACCTCCCCCTTCACTCATTCACTTTCCTCTCCTTTATTTTTTTGCTCCCTTTCCTTACTGGACTCCTTCCCAGCCCCCCTTCAATAGGCCTGCCTCTGGGACTCCTGTGTTCAGCTTCAGTCACCTTGGGCCAGGCAATGTCCCAGGAACCCAGCATCTATCAATTCAGGCCTCTTGCTCCCTCCCTGCCCTGTAGGCCATTCCCCACATGCACCTAGAGGGACCCTGTGAACACCCAAGTCAGATTGCCTCCCCTCACACCAGCATCCCCATAGTTATTCCATCCAGACAAGTGCACACGTGTCTCAGGGCCTTTGTACTGGCTGTTCTTTCTGCCTGGAGTGCCCTTCCCTCAGATATACCCCAGGCTCCCTCCCTCACCTCCATCAGGTCTTTGCTGAGTTGTTCCCTTCCCAGGGAAGCCTTTCCTGGCCACCCTATTTAAAGGGACAGTGCCATACCCCCTCTCCCCCACATCCACTCCCCATCTCCCTTCCCTCTCATGGTGAGCCTCCCTGACCTCTCCCAGCCCCAGGGCTCTTCTCCTGATCTGATCCACAAGCCCTGGACTCCCCAGATCGGGGCTGGTCTTTGGCCATCAGGTATGGTGGCCTAGAGTCCCTTCCCAACCAGGGTGGAGGAAGGAAGAGAAGACCGGAAGCCCCCAGTTTATAGGCCCCTTCTCAGCCTAGCCTGGCCTGGGGGAGGCTCTTACCTTTTCATGTGCTCACTAGCCACTCCTTGGATGTAAATGGACATTCCCACACTGAGACCTCCAGGGATGGGCTTGTTGTAGGGCAGAGTCTGTAGAAGGGGCTCAGTGAGGGGCCTCGAAGGCCATCTGCCTATTGCAGCCTTTCCCCCTCATTGAGAAGTCCCCCACTCCCTTAAGCAAAGGAGAGGAAACTAAGGGGTGAGGGATCAGTGTGATGATGAAGAGGGCTGAGAGTTTAATATAGACACAAATAGCCTGAGTGACAGGGTAGGTGCCCCAGGGTCAGTACTGGGTAAATCAGACCCAGGGGTCGGGTGGATACCTCCGAAGTTCGGGGTGAGAGTAAATTGGTGTATGGGGGTCAGGGTAGAGCTAAGCCAGGGCCAGGGTTAAGGCCCAGGCCAGTATCTCACCGGGTTGTAGGTGGGCTGGTAGCCAGGTGCAGGGACAAAGGCCATCTCGAGAGGCTGGGCTGGTAGCTTGTCCTGTGAGAAGAGCTGCAAGAATGGGATATGGTGACAGATGGCAGTGGTGGCTGGCTTTTATACCTGAGGATAAGGGAGTGGCAGGCAGGACAGGGTTCACGGGGTCCCTCTTCTGAGTATCCCAGGCTCACATCTTCTTCTAGGGTACCCTTAGTCTCCCTTCTCTCACCAGCCTCAGTGGTAACCAGTCAGAACCCAGATCACCTGGGCGAGGCCTGGGGGGACTCAGATCAGGGACCCCTCTTCTATACCCTTTTGAAAAGAGAAAGTGCTAGTGAACTTTGGTCTTGCCAGCACTTTTACTAGAGGCCATAAAACCCTGCCTGGACCTTTGTTAGCAGAGGGTGGGTGAGGTCAGGCAGATTGGGCAGGGCAAGGCAGGGCTGCAGGTGTGGCCCAGAACAGGTGGGCAATGGAAACAAGTGAAAGTAGGGAGGAACTGGGTGCTCTTGACACTCCAGGAACTGTGAAAGGAACTAAATTGATTGTGTGCCTACTACATGACTTAACCATGACTTTCTATTGTGTACATAGTGGTTTAGATCACTGATATCTGCAGCCAGAGGTTCTGGGCTCAAATCCTATCTCTGCCACTTCCTGGCTGTGTAATCTTGGGTCAGTGCCTTAATCTCAATTTGCCCATTTGTTCATTTGTAAAATGAGGATATTAAACAGTATCAACTTCATAGGTCCTTTAAAGAAATCACTAATAAATGCTCAGAACAGCCTAGCTGGCATGGCTCAGTGGTTCAGCGTCAACCTATGAACCAGGAGGTCACAGTGCATTCTGGTCAGGGCCCATGCCCGGGGTTGTGGGCTGATCCCCACTCAGGGGCGTGCAGGAGGCAGCCAATCAGTGACTCTCTCATCACTGATGTTTCCCTCTCTCTCCCTCTCCCTTCCTCTCTCTGAAATAAAAAAATATATATAAATAAATAAGTGCTCAGAACAGGACTTGTCATATAAAAGGCACTAAATTAATGTTTGATCTCTTGTACTCATTCCAAACAAACCCAGGAGGGTGGAATTGTATGTATATGGATGAGAAAACCTAAAGATGAAAGAAATGAGGCAGTTGGCTGGAACCTGGGTAGCAATTGAACTTTAGCCAGACTCCAGCACCAGATCCCACTATGCAGTGAGTGGGGGCCAGGCAGGGTGAACGCCACCTTCAAGACTGCAGCAGGCACGGAGACCAACTGTAGCCTTTCAGCCCATGTGATTTTTGCTTGTTCCACCCCGGCTGGACCTTCTATTGGCCCTGGCCTGACCACTGCCAGCTCTGCATGGTCATCACCTGTGTGGCTCCCATTCCACTTGGTCAAAGCTCTCTCCCCAACCTTCAGCACAGCTGTGGTCCATGGACCCTCAGGTGCATCTTAGCCCCTTCCCACCTCTCCCATCTCCAATAAGGACGCCGGGTTCTTGACTTTGCTTTATTGTTCGTGGGGTGAAGGTATGATCCTGGGCATGAAGAAATCAGGGTTAAAGTTATAAACTGGGCGACTGGATGAGAAGGCAGCAAGGTGACCATCTTCACTAACCCTCCCTCTCTGTGGAACCCAGGCACCAGGTGGGGCAAAGCCAGACCCCTGCCTGGGCCTGGGACGTGGGGGCTCTCAGAGCTTGGAGAAGGTGACGCTGTTCAGTTCCTTCTTCTCCATCGCTGCCTGGACAGACTTCACGATGTCCTGAGTCTGCAGCATGCTCATGTTCCAGGCGGCCTAGATAAGGGGGCGGAGAGTAATGGAAAGGACAGGGCCAATGGGCCAATGAAAAACGGGGACACACAGCAGCGCACCAATCAGAGGAAAAGGCCTGTAGAGGCCGCTGAGCCCTGATTGGTTGCTCTGGAATCAAAGAAGGGCTGTGATTGGTCAAATGGAGAGCCTCACCATGTAGTTGAGGCCCTCGGCCACCGAATGGTCCCGGGAGTAGAGCAGGTTGACTTTAGTGCCCTGAACCGCCACGGGGCTCTTGCTGGAAATCTCGGCCGCCAGGGCGAAGGCCGCGTCCAGCATGGCCTCCTTGTCTGGGAACACTCGGCTGCGCATGAAGGGCATCAGGAGTCGGGTCTGACAGGGTGCTCTCCCGTCCCGCCCATATTAGAAGTGGCCAATCACAGTAGAAAGCGGAAGACACCCCCCTCCTCCCGTGAAATGGACGGGTCAGGTCAGGGAACGAGACTCCAGGATAAAGAACTGACCACTCAGGGGGGGAAGCCATGTGGAATCCGTGAGTGAGGATCCACGGGGACCCCAAAGAGCCCCACCCAGGCCTGGCTGCCCCCGAGCCCTTCACCAGCACCGGCGCAGCCCTACCTGACCAGCCCACTGCCCAGCGCCTCGTCAGCCATCATCTTGCGGGCGGTGAAGGCCAGCTCGTTGACCAGGCTGCAGGAGGGTGGCGCGTATGAGGGGACAGCGGTCCTCCCAGGTCCAGGAGATGCGCTTCGGTCCCCTCCCCCAGGCTTCCTCACTCACCTCTGGTTCCCGATGACTCTGGGCAGCCGCTGCAGCGTTCCCACATCCGCTGCCAAACCCACATCCACCTCCTGGGGGGAGCAATCCCGTCTCTGTCCAATACTGGCCCCCACGCAACCTCAATGCCAGTGAAATTCTGCACTTAGAGCGGAGGTGCCATCCACCCCTACCTCAAACACCTCTCCTCTCCATACTCCATTCCATGTTTTCCCCATAAAGATTCCTTCGGGCTAGAGTAGAGCCCACTTTCCAATTCCTCGGCCATCTCAAGTCTTCCGGGCCTGCCCTGTCTCTCTCCAGAGGGACGTCCTTCTTAACCTGCTTGGTTCACTCCCTCACTGTATGCACGGGCTGCATCCTGCCTGCGGCCCTCTCAGGCACTGACCCCGTAATGCAGCGCCCCCAGCCTGCCCCCTGTCCCCATATATTACTCGCTCCTGACCTAACCTGGAGTGCATGACTCACTCTTGACTTCCTCCACGGTCAAGCCTTACTTTCTAAGGGTCAGTTCTGGTTAGCTCTCCCATGAAGCCCTCTGGGCTGACTCCAGGCCCTCCCTCCTCACCCCCACCTCCTTAACCTGCACTGTCCCTGCTCTGCCTCCGCTGTGCCACTCAATGTCCAGCATTAAGCAGGACTCAAGGAAGCAGAAGCTCGGGAGGATGACTCACCTTCACCTGAAAGAAAGCATCCTGGGCACAGTACCGGATGTCACAGGCGGTGATGAGGTCCACACCTGGGAGGCAGAGGCCAGGGGCACTAAACAAGGGTACGGACCAACCCCTTCACCCAGATCATGGCGTTGCACGTTGGTACGAAATCTAACTAGCCAACAGATCTCAGGCTGGAGGCCATTGGCTGAGGCGGAAGGGCAGCAGCCAATAGGCGCCCAGCCAGAATGAGCTCTGGGATGGGGGCTGTGGATGCAGACTCACCTCCGCCAACGCAGCCCCCGTGGATGGCTGCAATCACCGGTTTCGGGCACTGGAAGGAAACAGGAGGGGCGGGGTCAGGGCTGGCCCACAAGAGGTCGACAGGAGGGATGCCCTCCCAGGCCCCCAGACTCACCTTCTCGATGACGCTGAAGGTCTCTTGGTATCTGGTGATGAGGCCACGGAGGGACCAGCTTATGCGGGCAGCATCATCTCCTTGAGGCTGAAGGAGGTCTCCAGCCATCTCCACGAGGTCGAGACCTGCAGGGGAGGTGTGAGGAAGCTCACGTAGCCTCTCAGGTCCTACCCATTGCCCCAGCCAGAGGTGAGAACCCAGGCCCAGCCGATTTGAACCCTCAAACCACCACAGTGGAGAAAGCTGCTCACATAGGGCTTAGCAAGGGATTGTGAAACAAATCTAAGTTAACAGTTATTGAGTCACTGCTCACTGTGTCCTCACAACCCTATGAGGTGGGTTCTATTACTATCTTCATTTTAGGGGGTAAACTGAGGGACGGGGAATTTAAGTCACTTGCTCAAGGTCACACTGGCTTGTGAGTAGAGGAACTGCGATTTCAAACCCAGGCCCAGGGGTCATGCTTTTCACCATATGCCAGGCAGCCTTGCAGTCAAGCTCTTGACTTGAGCAATTGAGCCAATGGTGCTAGTGTCTCCTGAGATGGGAAGGCATGAGATGGAGCAATTCTGGGGGCTCCAACTGCACTACAATCCCAAATCTGACCTTTCCTCCACTTGCCAGTCTCCATGACCTTTACTCTGGTTACCATTGTGTCCCCTGGCCCCATGCTTCCACCCTGCCCCCACAGCCTGCTCCCCACACACAGCCAGAGGGAACTTACAGACACTTCAGGGCCCTCTCTTCTCCTATGCCACTTACTTAGAATAAAATGCAAGGTCTCTGCCAACACTTTACCAGCTCTACACAAACATCATTTCCAACCTATTCCTTTGGGCACACATGCCTCCATCAGGTGTTCCAACTATGCAACACATTCCCTCCCCAGGGCCTTTGGGCCTCCTGCTCCCTCTGCCTAAAATAGCCCTTCCCCCTGCTATGATCCCAAGACTGATTCCATCTCTGTCCAGGCCACAGCTCAAAGGTCACCTCCTCAGGAAGGCCCGCTCTGGCTACCCTGGCTAAAAAGCAGCCCATCACCCTCCATCTCCTCCCTCTCCCTGTCTCCTGCTCTACCCTCCTGTTATCACATAATTATGTGCTTATCTCGTTTAGTACCAGTGGATGAGAGCTCCAGGAGCAGAGGACTTTTTGTCTCTTTGTCTACCACTGTATCCCCAGTGCCTAAAGAGAGCCTAGTACACAGTAGGTGCTCAATAAGTGAACAATACAGACAATTCTTGCCCTCATGGAGCTGCCCTTCTATGGGAGAGACAGACACAAATGAAAATACATTCTGTCAGATGATGCTAAATGTTAAAATAAAACTAAAGGAAAATAGAATGTAATGTGTATGTATGTGTATGTGTACAGTGAGGACTACTGCAGTATTATACTGGGTGGTCAGGGACCCTGTCACTGAAAAAGCGACATCTGAGTAAAGATGTAGAGGAGAAGAGTCAGGAACATCTGGGATAAGAGAGTTCCAAATGTCAGGAACAGCTAGTGCAAAGGCCCAGTGGTAGGAATGGCCCTGGTCCGTGTGAGGACCATGGAGGAGGCCAGGGTAGCTGGAGTGGAATGAACCAGGAGGAAAGTAGGAAGAGTCAAGGTTGGTAAGGTGACAGGGCCAGCTGTATGGGGTCTCATGAGCAAAGGGGAGGACTTTGGCTTTTACTCTGAGTAAGATGAAGCTATGGGACAGTTCCGAACAGAATCATCCCTCACTTCTTCCTCCTTGGCTTAATCATGTCCATCCTGCTGCCTGTCCTCTAACAACTCAGTTAACAAACCTGAAAAATCCTTTCTACGTACATCCACACCCCCCACAAGCCTCCACAGCTTGTTTAAATGAGATGGGAGGAGTGTTGGCTCAGGGTAGAGCTGAATTTGCGCAAGTTTAATATGTTTAAGAGGGGACCTCCTGTGTGACTTTGGCCAGGTCACTTCATCCTCTGGGCCTTCAGTTTCTTCTCTGTAAAACAAAGGTAAAGCCCTCCTGAGAGCTGATGAGGCTGCAAGGCTTCAAGGACAGAGCCTGAGGCACTTTGAGCAGTGCCTGGCAGTTAGGGCATCACAAGTTGCTTTTATTCTAGACTCCCTTCAGTGGAGGCCAGAACCGTCTGGATCAGCCTGAGGGCTTCTTCCACTCCATGTCTGAGAAGCCCACAGGAGCCATGCTTACTCCCAGAGCAAGCCCAGCTTGGCACCTTGTGACCCCTCCCTGCACTGGTTTTTCTGGTTTATCTACTTTACATGGCCCTGCAGACACTGCCTTTTACAACCCCTTGAAGTAAAGGGCCTTTGACCAGAATGCAAGCTGTCCCCCTCCATGGTAAGAACCTTTCACTGCGAACAGCCAGTGTGGCTCAGTGGTTGAGAATCAGCCCATGAACCAGGAGATTATGGTTCGATTCCCAGTCAGGGCACATGCCCGGGTTGTGGGGCTCCATGCCCGGTGGGGGGTGCAGGAGGCAGCAGATGTTTCTCTCTCTCCTTCTCCCTTCCTCCCTCTGAAATCAATGAAAACATATTTAAAAACACACACAACGAAACAAACACTCACTGCAGTGAAGTCTGGACATCTCATTCCTCTGTGAATTTTGAAAAGTTTTGGGTATCATTCATAATCATAGTGACGCTACTCATAATCACAAATAACAACAGCTGCATTAGAAAAGTTTTACATGTATTGACGTTTCATACGGATGCACTCATTGAATCCTCACAGAAACCTGAGGGGGGGGCTGATAGCAGCGCCATTCTCTTCAGATGAGGAAACTGCAACCCAGAGAGGTGAAGGGATGTGTGCAGGAGGCACCAGTAGGAGGGGGCTGGCTGCTGGGGCCAGAGCCCTTGCTTTGAACCAGCGTGTCAGATACCCGGGTTACAGTCACTTAGCGGTTATCGACAAGGACCCTGCAGCCAGTAGCCCGAGGTCAAGGCATTCTGAGGAACCTTGAGAACCTGAGCAATTCAGTCAAATCGATAGGTACTGCAAGCAAATGCTGGTGGCAACTATATGGCTTGGCTTCTTAACCCTGCGGGGCCAAAGTTCAATCTGGAGATTCCTTATGAAATTCTAGCAAAGCAGATGCAAAAGAGCTTATGTGATCCATTACTATTCTTGTCACATTTATGCAAATAACAGGCCAAATTTGCTGAAACTAGACTTACACAATAAATTAGTCTTAGCTATATTTGATAAGGTGAGGGTGATTTTAGAGAGAAAAGCTGTTTCAATAGGAACCATAATGTACAATTGTGGGTATTCGATTCCAGTTCTGTTAATTGTCTTTAAAGTCTAATTTTTCACCCTGGCTGGTGTGGGTCAGTGGTTAGAGCGTTGGCGCATGAACTGAAGGGTTGCTGGTTCGATCCTCAGCCTTGGTCAGGGCGGGTGTGGGAGGCAACCAATCGATATGTCTCTCTCACATCGATGTTTCTCTCTCTCTCTCTTCCTCTCCCTCCCTTCTACTCTCTCTAAAAAAAAAAAAAAAA